AGCCGTCGTCGCTCGGTGGCACGTCGAAGCGCACGAGGAGCGTCGACGACGGCTCCATGTGGCCAGCCGGCGGCCAGAGAAATCGCACCACCGCCGTTGCATTCTCGCTCTGCGCCACGACAAAGCGACGTAGAGACCGACCTACGCAACGGCAGCGTCGCTTCTAGGGCTGTTGCGACTGGGGTGTCGTACCAGCAAGCGCTGCAGCATGGTCGGTAGATCTTGTTTTCAAATAGTGTGCGAGTTACGTAAATAGTCTGCTCAGAAAGCGGGCAAAATGCCATTTAATTGGGAATGTCTTGTTTTATGGCACCAGCGTATAAAGAAAGAGAGGGAAAAGAACGTGGAATTCATTTTATTACATTTTTTTCCAATTCGTGCGAGGGGACTGGGTCGTGGCCGTGATGACGACGCCTAGGTGGCATGCAACTACCGTGTTTCATTGGCAGGGAAACTTATGGCTCGACCAATCAGAGGACAGAGCTGACCAATCAGAAGGCGGCATTTCGGAAACGGCAACGCATCTGATTGGACAAAATGATGGAAGGCTGTTGGACGGGATATCCGGCAGGCGGTTGGACTCATCCGGCAGGCGGTTGGACGCATCCGGCAGGCGGTTGGAGTCGAGCCACCCGCCCGGATGACTCCGTGACTCTGTGGTTCACGGCGCCGTCTCCAGCGTGACGCTGAGCCAAGAAGGGCCGTGGGAGACGCACCATGGCGCCGCCGTGTGTTGTCACTGGTATGTACTAGTAATGTGACGTTTGCATCATTGGAACGCGTACGAGCAGCTCAGCGGCGCCTTGCGCTCGATGTGGCTGATGCGGCGCTCCCTCAAGGAGCCTGCCGCGTTGGAACGTGCGCGCTCTGGTGCGTATAGCTATCGTCGTGCGCCATTCCAGGCTATAGGCGCTCTTCAACTGGTCATACGTTGCGGCCTCTCCGCCACAGTGCTCTGGAGCTTGGTTGTTTGCGGCGTCCGGCGCTCGCACGACGACTCCGCGATCGCGTTCCGCGGTTGGCACGTTGTCGAGATCGGGCACTCGCGCTCGAAGCTACGGCTGCGATACATGTAATGCACAAATTTACGACTTGATGATTAAGAGTCTTGCTTCCAATGCACTTGCTACGCGTGCACTGTACAGGCGCCTGCTTACGCATGCTCGGCAAAGGGCTAGCCTTGACTGTGTCATGACGGGACCAGCAGCAATCGGCGTGTCCAAGGACAAGGAGCGACGACGCATGGACTGCAGTGGCTGTTGCGCGGACCTGCTCAGGCGGCGCGTCCTCAGGTCGCGTCTACATGAGTGACAAGAGGTCAACACAGTCCCGAGACACAATAGCGCAAGCATACCTTGACAGCGTAGAGCGGCGATGCGTCCTTCTTTGGATGGATGCACGTTGCACAGCGTCGGCAATGGCGCGGATACCACGGACAGTCGTACGATCTCAGTAGCGCACACTAGCGCTAGGAGCTTGGCTGCACTGGCAGTAGGATGGGCACGCGTGGCGGACGCACTCTTGGGCCTAGGTGGCGCCGGCAGCGACTGTTGCGGCGATCGATGCAGCGACCGTGGTGCTAGAGGCGCTCGCCGATCTTTTGCTTGAGCTGCTTGACGCCGTTGATGAGGTTGGTGATGATCGGGAGACCTTGCGGGACGCCGTCCTCCAAATCCAAGTCGATATCGTCCAAGCCATACTTGGTCAAAAGACTCGAGACGAAAAAAGTTGGCCATCTCGGTCGCATCGCGGCACCATGTTGGCCGCCCAGTGAGAGCGCGACGATCTTGCCGGACGCTCGCCGTGCCGCCATGTCAGCAATAAAAGTCGCCTCCGAGCCTGCGTCCGGGTCCAGCATCAAGCCAACGCTGCTGTTGCCGAGTGCGCTGCACTGACATGCCTCGTGCAAAGCGTGGGCTACGACACGATCCAGCCCAGGACGATGTACCCGACGTACTGTACCGTGGTGTGACGACGTGGAGCATCAACTGGGATAGCCACGACGGCTACGTCTTTTCCAAGCCAGCGCACCAAGCTCTTGACGGTTTGGACGCGCCTTCAGTGACGCCAACGAATGCGACGATTGTCCTCTCGGTTCCACCAGCATCATCAGCCGCCGTATTGATGGCAGCACCACTTCTCGCGCCAGTACCAAGTGACCGTTTAGTGTCTGGCTGCGGTGTGTGCACCCACTGCCAGTACGCGCGATCCAAATCGTGCTTGCAGGGTGGACGCAGGCGCAGTGTGTGGCCAGCCCTGTGTACACGTGGTGTGCAGAGGCAACGAAGAGCCGCTCACCACCTAGCAGCTCGGTAGCAATTGCTACTACCCACCGACGCATGCATGCTACAGCGGCTGGATTGCCGCTTCGTGCCTCACCAATCCTGCACGGATGCGGCAATGGACCTGCTGCCTACCTGGCTCGCGAGTAAAACCCATGAGTAAAACCTCTAAAATTGCGTGTCAAAAGATCGGCGTTTTTTTGGGCAACCCGAAACCATGTCATTTATCCGGACGAGGTGTTTTGCTTGTCGCCAGTTCCCGCAGCAGCATGAGCGCGACGAGCGTAGGCGCCGACGTCGTCCATGGGCATGGCCTCATCCTCGCCTCGTCCTAGTTTGTCAATGGCGTCGCGACGGCCATGGAGACGATCAAGAAGCACCCGGACGACTGGCAGAAGCGCCAGGCCGCGCTCCAGGACATCCAAGACCTCTTCGTGACGATTGGGACCGCACGATGACC